CTAACCGCTAGACCATATGGGAATATGTACATGATTCTTCCTTTTGAGATCTTCTTTTATCCAAAAATGATGGAATAAAATCACATTACTTTAATATTAAACATTAATATTTAACATAAAGTAACCCTCCCTACCCTGGTAGTTAGACCCCAAACGCATAGACTGAAGCCTGGCAAGATGGGTTCTTGCTGGATCTTGTGATTTCAGGACTTTCATGGCAAAAACCTATAAAAAACAGCTCCAAGATTCAGAACATAGAAATTCAGTTTGTGATTTGTTGTCTTTCGCTTACAGTTTTCAGGCTTTCATCAGTTAAAGCAAAATTTTTTTAGGCAGCATACTTTGCAAAGGGTTAATGCACCCCTAATAATTTCTTTCTAGTTACTGTTTGAGGAATACTTTTACAACAAAAATGTGCTAAGGGAGGCAGAATAAAGAAACAACACTAAAAACAAGCATTCTTCCAAAAAATATAAGCCTTTTCTACCAATTTTACCAACAATTACCAATTTTTTTTTGTTTTCGTCCACATTTTCTTTGAAGTGGGGACATTTCCCACAACCCGTGAAGGGGGCTCGAGTACGGGTAATCGTGGCGGGTTGGGGGGCGCGGCTATGCAAATGAGGAGCCGCTGTCTGAATAGATGCTCCCCGGCTTCTGTGAGCAGGAGCGGGACACTTGCTGCCTGAGGACGGAGGGAAAGTGGACGCCGCTCCGGACAAACAACACAAACACAGCTCGCTCTCACTCGAAACCACAACATCGCGACGACCATGGCTTCAAAGTGCCCCAAGTGTGACAAGACGGTGTATTTCGGTAAGTGATGGCTGCTTTATTTAGTCCCACCTTTTTTGTAATTACTTTTTGTTAATCATGATGGTGATGCCCCCCCCTCTCCACCTCCTCTTCAACCGTCAGCTACTAGATACTCCTGACAGGGGTTGATCTTGTTTATTTGGGGACAACTTGTTCCACAGTTTTTGTAAACCTATAGTTAATTAATTTACAAATGCAAAACAAACAAAAACAACCTTTCACAGAACTTGTATTTGGCTTTGTTGTATCACAGATTTACATGAGCTAAAAATGACTACTTTTCAAATGAAGTTCTGAATGGAAACACAAGTGCGCTTTTAGTTTCTCTGTTTTGAGAGTATTTTACAACATACAGAAGCATATTAAAAGCATTTTTTGTGCTTAATATTGGATCCATAAAGATCAATATTGCTGTAGGCGTTTTTTTATTGTTCAGGAGTGGGGAAAAATGTAAATCCTTCCTACATTTCCTAAAGGAATTCCTCACAAAAGTAAAGCATTCCTTAGATTAGGGAGTTGTTTTTGTAGAAAAAGAGTTGCTGGCAATGTAAATGATTCACAGAGATAAACTTTGGGAAAACAAATATCTGGAGAGGCAAATGGGTCAATGTAAACAAAAGCCTTTAGAGCAAACATACAACAAATTTCTTTTTTTTTATTCCACATAAAATGCTTTTAATGTATGTAATGTAAAAGAAAACATTCCCTGTCAAGAAATTGCATAAATGATTTATCCTATTTCGAAACTGATCTGTGCCATTTTTAATTTGTTGCGTTTGGTAAACATCCAAGCGTGGCAGTTGTCTTTGGAGGGCTGCTGATGATCGTAGCCCTTGCCAAGAGTGCAGAAATGCCATATGCAGAGATTGCCCACTCGCAAGAGGAGCACAGCAACACCACGCTGCGTCAGTGGGATAGAAAAAACCTGTAAACATGCATCTTTTGCATCCATGTAAACAAATACAGAGGGTGAGGGGGGGTAGCTTTGAGTCACACTAAGCCACAAGGAGGACGATGGCATCTTTTATATTTACTGTAACAGATGTTTACAGTGAAATAAATGCACACAGACGAGCAAAGTAGAGGATTAAAGGAGCTCAGGTCGTGAAGATAAACAGAAATTTACATTGCTGCTTTGAATCTGAAGGCTGCATATTAGATGCTCAGTTTATTTTTAGGGAACATGCTGCTGTCCTGTTAATAATCCTGTGTTTATGTTTGGCCCATGCTGGGAAACAAAAAAAGAAATAAATGAATGTATTCCTCGGCGCTGATCTTTTCTACACTTCAGAGCACACATCAAAGCGGTCACGGGGGTCAAAATCAATTATGTGAGTGGATGGAAGTCCTCTTACGTAACAGGAGTGGCAGCAAACCCTCACAGCTGCTGCTCATCCAATGGATCCACAGAATCACTGTGACATGGAGCAATATCTGCACAAATAAGATTTATTTTCCTCCCATGCAGATTTTGTGCATGTCTGAGTGTTCATTTGTGTCGTAGCCTTAATTTGCTGCAGCAAGTGAGTCACAGCTCCTTCATGATGCGTGTGTGTGTGTGTGTGTTTTTTTTTTATGTAACACACTGAGATCCATCCTTGCGAGGGTTTATTTTTGGTTGGGGTGTGTCTTAATGGGTGGCGAGCGCCTCGGGCTGCGTCGACTGTAAGGATGATGAACGGCTGCTATGAACCAGCATGGGCGGATTCAGCTTCAGTAAAACCAGGGAGGATGGAGAAAAGTGAGGGGAGGTGTTAATGACATAATTGAAGTTTATGTCATTGCAAAGGGGGGGCGGGGCTGGGAAACGTATGACAAGGCACGAGGGAGAGGTCGGGGTGGGAGAACAGTTTCACGGCTGCCCACAGATTGAAGCATCAACATGTGATGTTAGTGATGGATTTTTAGATGCTGTAGAATGAGCTCAGCAGCTCCACCTACATACTTTGCTCTCCAGAGAGAGCAAGAGATCCTGTGTTGAGGTGAGTTTTCAGGTCTGGAGAACAGTTAAAGTAGGTGTAAAGTGGATAAAAAAAACCTCCTGCTTCTCATCTACACCAGCACATGTGTTATTGATGGAGAAAATTGTCTATTTCCCGTCCCCATTTCGCTCCCATTTCTTTCTTGTGGTTGTTCGTGGTGCGCCGTATGGAGCGGTGATTGGCCCACCCTGCAGTTACCCACCTGGTCCTCCAGCTGCTGTTGCCCAATATTGGATTTAGCACGCAAAAGGCGCTCAACACTTTCCTCTCCTCCTTTTTTTTACTCCTGCAGAACAACGTCATTTAATTAACACGACGGCGGTGAGCCACAGTCTGGGGAGAGAGATTCTTTTTGGGGTTTCGGGAAGGGAAACGTTTTTGTATTATTTTCCGTCTGTTACATTTAATGGACAGCTGTTTCATGGTGGCGATGGTTCAATTTCATCGCCACCAAAGGCAAATGTTGAGTGCCGCTGCCGCTCTCGTTGACTGCGAAGCTTCTACAACCCTTTAAGTGCAGGAAAACCATCGCTTGTCGCTGGTGTTAAAAGAATGCGAAACATCTTACTTTTTAATTGTAGGGTTTTGGCTGAATTCAAATTCCCGGCGTCCACATTGTGGCCTCACATCTGTTAGTTCCTGTGGTACAGAGATGCTTAGAATACACCAGGGACTATTGGCTGACATGTGACCAAGGCCCAGTGGAAATACAATGTTAGCGTGCGATAGAGAGTCCATGCTGGCCAGAACACAGCGTGGCTCACATAGCCTCCCAGCTCCGGACCCAGATTCAGCTCTTGTGCACGACAAATGGGAGCAAAGCGTCTTTGTGCAGCTAAGTGAATAAATGAGAACTTTAATGGGAACTAATGGTGCTCTGCTGTGAGTTTCTCTCTCTCTTTCATTCACCAATTCCTCTCACTCTGGCTCTCTTTTCCTCTTCTTCAGTCACTTGCTCTTGCCTCAGGCCCTGAATTCCTCTTCCCCTGATTTATTTTTTATTTTTTTTTAAACTACGAGGACAGGGGGGAAAATGGGGTGAGATGGCTCGCCTTTATTTAAATGGAGACTCTCGAAGTGCCTCATGCATTATAATGAGAAACGACATCTCTATTCACACAAAGCTCTTTCTGTCTTTGTGCACGTTTGTCCTTCCCAGAGAGGCAGAATACCTTCGTCCTCTCAGCCTGACGATACGTTTCCCACACACCCCTTTTTATCCCACATTTACCCCAAACATCCACACAATACCGTTCTTTTTATGCTTCCCCCTCCTGTCAACGTTAGAGTACCCTGTTTTCCACTCGGCTGCCCAGTGGGCTGTGTGAATGTGCCTCGTCAGTTATGTAACATCATTTCTTGAGTCGTTGCCTCCTGCTTGCTGCCATTGCATAACCTGCCAGCTACTGTGCACCAGTCAACGAGGGGCCCTTTTTGAGGCACAAATATGATCCCCTAATGGGCATAAAGCCTGGTGCTGAAAGTCAGGCTGCCCCCCCATGCCCTCCCAACACAGGTGAAACCATCCCACCTTGCAGCAGAATTACCTGTTACATAAGAGCAGAGGCACAGAAGAACAAAGTTGGTCTGTAGTTCATCCAAAGGACTCCCACTTCAAAGATCTTATTTTTTTCATTTATTTATTTTCATTATATAAAATTTCATTTTTGATATTATTTAAGCATTTATCAGCAATAAACAGTTAATCTGTTTTGCCTGTTTAATAGTCATCTTTGTACAGGTGCACAGCTTTACAGCCAGGAGCAGATACTTCCAATAAAGGCTGAAGACCAGCCTAAGAAAACTTTATTCTGGAAGCATATTGGACAAAACGCAGCAAATTCGATGATAAATCAGATAAAGAGGAGATAGAATTAGACCAGAGGTTTTGTAGAAATGTAAAAACAAGAAAACTGGAACTGGAACAAGAAAATCCTTCTACAGTTTGTAGAGCGTCGACTGAAGAACAGCACATAATCCAAAATTACATCTAGCTTGAATTCTACGTACTTAATTTTCTAAAAACTCACGTGCAAATATGCCTCCCAGCAAGTTAAATGCAAAAATGTTTAACTTGACTGGAGAAAGATGACCAGAAGAAGTTCCGAAATCTGAGATCAGTCAGAGATCTGAGCTGTCACACAAAAAAACACACATACACACAC